GTTCTGTGGGCAGGAGCTCTGGGTACTGTGAGCGCCGACGGTGGGAATTTGTACTTTTCCTCCGTGAAACAATCTGTTCGCCAGAGACGGAAAGAGAGAGGAAGGGAGATAGCAAAGAAAAACGGAGAAATGTGCGAGCCCCGCGTGTTTTTCTTTCTGCTTTAGCGTACACAAACGCTTTTGCACCTTTGTGTTGGCGTGGGCGTGTGTGTGTGTTTTATTTTCGTCAGTGTATTTGAACATGTGACTTTGTGTAATTTGGCAGCAAAAAGTCTCCGAGATAGATGTGGGGATTGTTTGAGCTCCATGTTTGTGTATGTGTGTGTGTTGTTGATAGTGGTTGTGTTAGAGGATTAGGGGTAAAAAGGGGGGGTACCAGTTTGAAAAGTGTATGTCTATTTACGGTGTGTGTGTGTTTGTGTGTAAGAGGGCGCCGGTTTCTCGGTATGTTTTTGCAGCTGCTGCAGATTCTAACTAGCTGATAAGACATTAAGAAGTATAATCTCATGATTTCCACGGCTACTGCACTGATACACATCACAGACCACTTACAGCACCGAGAACACAAGACACACACACAAACACACACACACACTTCTACCCAGTTTGACCTTATATGGCTAAGTCTGACTTGCTTTAGGTTGCAGATGTGGTTGCATATTTCTCAACTATTCAGCTTTGCGCTCTTAAACGTACTAGTTGTTGCAGTCGGTGTTGCTGTTAAGTGGCCTCAAGGGTGTAAGTTTGATTCAAACAGAGTTATTTTGACCTATGGCCGCTATGCAAAGTAAGGCTCAAATAAGTATCACTTATCCACTGCGGTGACCTCACTGAGAAACACTGAGAGGAGTTAAAGTAGAAGACTGCTTTAGAAAAGTATACAGCAATCCATTAACCTTGGTAGTAATATGTTCCTACTGTCCAAATCGATGCCGACGAGTGGCCTGTTAATTGCTATTTTTACAGTAGAAGTACAGTACTGTTTGCAGTGCAGTGCAGGACTTGCATATCCAATAAGGTTAATAATATAGACTCATTTCATAATTGTTTCCCCCCCTGTCAATGATAAATCAGCTCCATTCGATCCATCAAGACAATGTGGGTGACACTCAAACATGATTGGTCGCTTCTGATGACATCATTCCTAACAGATTTACTGATGGTCATTGGTTGGGGTCGTAGGTGTTCTGACGTGGGCAGGCCTACGGGCTCGGGACTAAATGTGGGGTATTTTTTTGCCTGCGGTACATGTTTACTACATGCCGTAAATCGAAGCTGGACATTGTTCTGTTACAGCCATCCATTACTGATGACAGCATTCAGGCAAGACGTTTATGAGCCGGGCTGTTAGGACCAGTAAGTCACTCTGTCAGGAGAGCAGGAGTCGGGGTAAAAAGGAGGTGAAAAAAAAGAGGGAAAGAGGATGGGCAGAAAAAAAAAAAAAGACTGGAGGATGGAGGAGAGGAAATAGTAGGCATTTCCAAAAACAAAGCTTTCATTCACGGGGAAAATTTTCTCCATCCTCCCCTCCTCAATTTCTTCATTCCTCCCACCCTTTTCTCTGGCTATCATGTTTCTTGTGCCAATCAATAATTTATAGCGGTCGCTCTGGAGCAATGAACCCCCACCCACCCCCGGCTCTCTGAATGACAGATGAGGGCAAGAATGAGTGTTGGGGCAAAGTGAAGTGAAAAGCGGGAGGGGTGTAAAGAAGGAGAGAGGAGGAGGAGGCGGTGCAGCGAGCGAGAGACTGACGGAGGAACGGCTGAACATGACACTGGATAAATAACCGAGAGTGGGAGAGAATTTCCCACAGATAATGAAATTATGCAGCGAAAATGTCTACCAATTTTCATACTCTCAGAGAACTAATTACAGAACTAACAGAGAAAATGTCAGCTTCGTGACATCAAAGTGAGGACGCTGCCTACTCCATTTTTCCCCTATTTGTGTCTCGTTGTTTTACCTAAGCTGCTTTTAGCTCCTAGCCCACAGCGCATTGCTATTCTCCAAGATAAGGACCACAGCCGCACACACAATTAAGGGAGAGGAATGAAAGATTTGTATACTCGTGCGTGTGTGTCTGTGTGTGTGTGTGCACGGGCATGCAAATGCACATTTGTGTTTCCAGCAGTGTTTGTGTGCGACTGTAGTCATGACACATTAGGGTTGGAAGAAAAGAGGTTAAACCGTGAAGCTGTGTCAAAAATGTTCTGTGTTCAAATTTTCCCATGAGTCACAGCACTCCAGGTGAGGCAATCACACGTAGAAACACACACACACACACACACACATGAAGGTCTAGACGGTCTTAATGAAACTGGATGATGATGGAGTGGAGGGAAATTACAAGTTAGAACTAAAGTGTGCATGTGTTTGTGTGCATGTACTTTTAATGTGTGTGCTGTGTTTGTGTCCATTTGTTTCTATGGGAGAGTGAAAGAAAGAAAGTAAGAAGAAAGAACGAAAGAAAGGAAGAAAGAGGCCATTTCCTCTCCCTCCCACCTGCTCTTGTAATCCTCTGTGTTTTGGTGACCTTGGCAACCTGGTGACAAAACACTCTCGGTGTCCCTTTGATTGAGGCCATGGGTGGGCGTGAAGTTTGGACAGAGTGAAAAGACAGTGGAGGAGAGGAAGAAGGACAGAGGAGGAGGAGGATAAAGTTCCTGGTGCCCTCAGGGTTGGCCACACTGTCTATTCAGTTATTTCCTCCCGTCTGTCTTGCTGTCAGTATTTTTTTTTCCGGCCCGTTTTGTCGTCTGCTGTTCTTGATGGCTCCATTTGCACAAATCACACTTTGAAGTTGCAGATGTAGATTTAGATTAGACAAAGAGTAGAGGAAGGGTTGTGATTAGGCATTTTTGAGAAACATATTGAAAGTTTGTGACAGATGTAGAAATGGCTTGTGTTATATAAACTTTTCATTACAAATTAACATATAAAATGTATTTATTATGTACATTAAGTTCCCTGTATGATGACAGAGATTGTTTTATTGTATATATGTAGGAACTGTGGTGTCTGTAGTTTATTTTTGTACATTTGTTTCTATTTAGTTGTATGTTTAGTGCAGTGTGTTTGTGTAGCTGCTCAGTCGTCCTGGTTATGTTCATCTTAAGAACTTCAGTAGAAGGTTCTTGGTTCTTGAAACGTCTCTCATCCAAGAGTTTAGTTTTACAGGAGTCCCACATTTATATTGTCACATGGATAAAGACCCAGGCTGCACGATGGTTAGCACCCTTGCCTCGCAGCTAGAACGTTGCCGGTTCGCGTCCTGGTGAGGACACCCACGATCTTTCTGCGTGGAGATGGCATGTTCTCCCCGTGCAGCGTGGGTTCTCTCCAGGTTCTCTGGCTTCCTCCCACACAGTCCAAAAACATGTTGAGGGAATGTGCTTGGTTGTCTGTCTCTAAGTGTAGTCCTGTGATAGACTGGTGACCTGTCCAGGGTGTCTCCTGCCTTCACCCTGAGTCAGCTGGGATAGACTCCAGCCCCCCTACGACCCTCATGAGGATTAAGCGGTGTATAGATAATGGATGGATGGATGGATAGATAAAGACCCATTAGCTACCAAACACTCACATGCCTTGAAGTGTGACTGATTGTGAATGCCTTAGTTAGAGATCTCAAGGCTGCATTAAACGTACCTGATAAGTGGTGTCGGCCCCCTCCTCTGTTTACAAAGGGCTGTTCTAGTTTAGCATCGATGGCTTCCTTTACTTCTCAAACCATCTGTCTTGTTGAATGTGAACACTGTCATCTTCAAAGGAGTGTCCCTTATCCTGGATACAGGTGAACTGCTGAGTCTTGTCCTGAGGAGCTGCTTTCTTAGCCATACACTTGTGGAGCGGTTGTTTAATCTCTCCTATGTATAGGTCTGTGCGCTCCTTGCTGCATTGGACGGCATACATTCAGTTTGCTCTTAATCCCTTTCTGTCTTTTGGGAGCGTATCGGTTTAAACTTGCATGAGGTTGTGATTTAGGTAGTTGTGCTGTAGGGTGTTGGTGGGTATATAAGTCAGAATTTGTGTTTATTGGTGATTAGAGCTGGACAGATACTGTGTGTTTACATTGTCTTGACTCAGAGAGAGAAATATGGAGCTGCAGATGGCCGTAAGATGCAGACAATATGGTGTCTGGTCGAGAGTAAAGTTCACTTTTACATCCCAACAGAGACGGTCAGGGCCACAGTTTTTAGCCACGACATATGAAATACTCCTCCACTGATGTTAAAATGAGCTCACTGCAGTTTATAACCGATCTTTTGACGGCGGCCGTGAGCTGCTTAAACTGTAACGCAGCTGAACCAGATTTCTTGACGTGCCAGAAATCCGACCAGTCGTTGATTGTTTAGCTGATTTATCAGGCCTCGTGATGCATGTTGAACTACAACTGATCAGGCAGAAGCTTGGCCTGGTTCTATGAGTAATCCCATGAATTTCTATTAATGAGCAGATGTGAAAATGAAATCACCCATTTGTTCCTTTACTTATTCATTCTTTCCTGCTCTACGGCTGGCTCTTGAGCTAACTATTATTTAATGCTTGTCTCAGTGTTCACCTCTCTCTCTTTGAGGCAGTTTTTCTCTATTGTGTAGTGTTTTTTCCTTAAACTTATAAACTTAAGGCTTATATAAAACCATCAGGATCTTGTGTGTGTGTGTGTGTTTAATGACGCTAATAGCTGACAAACACCACAAATGAGATTAAAGGTGCATTCTATGGCCAGGTTAGAGAAAAATGTTCCTTCCAGGTCTCTGGCTTGAAGCATGACAATTACTCAGATGAAAATAACTGTGTCTCGAACACATTCAGTTCAATGAGAAGCATTAGTGATACTCTTTGCAGAGAACAGAGAACAATAACAGATGATTGGAAGAATAGAGTCCCCGATTAAAAGCTGAACTTCTGCTCTTGTTTACCATCGAAGCAACAACACAGTCTGATCGAATGAGAAAAAAAACTGAATTTTAACGTTTTGCTTTTCTTTCCTTCTGCAGTGAGAGATGACGACGATTTCCTCAGCCTCAGCGAGCTCCCAGAAACCTTCCCTTCTGACCCTCCGGAGCCTTTGCCTCACTTCCTGTTCGAACCTGAGGAGGGCTACATCGTCAAGAATAAACCCGTCAATCTCTACTGCAAAGCAACACCTGCCACACAGATTTACTTTAAGTGCAACAGCGAGTGGGTCCATCAGAAGGACCACACCGTGGAGGAGAGGGTGGACGAAAACTCAGGTGGGTGAAGTCCAGCGCACACGATTACATACTCAGAGATGTGTACATGTGTCTAACGTACTTGAAAAGAAGGAGAAAGTGGGCGTACTGGGACAGTCAAACTTTTTTTGTTTTGTAAGACTCGAGACATTTTTGACAGAAAAAAAAACAGACCCGAGTGCAGATACGTGTCAGTTTATACTCAGGAGAACTTTTTGTTTGGTTTTAAAGGAGCGCAGTTGAAGAATAAAATAACTTTTTTTGTGTGAGAGTGTAGCATAAATGCATGACTGATGTTGGGACTCTACTGGTAAACATATTCATAGATGAAACAAAGAAGTAAAAATCACGGTGACAGAGACGGTGAAGCCAGATCACAGTACGCATGCATCTGATATATATTTGATTTCTACTGCAGGTTTTCTTTCCTATTCTTCATTTGTGGAGTTTTTGTGCCGAATTTGTGCCACAAACGATTGATAAAGGCTTTTTAATGCAGCTAAGGTCCCTTTTACGCCTCTTTTAACCCTCTGAACCACACTTTCCGGGCTTTTTTTGTTGCTTATATGACATTTTTTCAAACTCTGGGCTCATTGTTTACTATAATAAAAAGCCCTGAACCTCCATAGGAACAACACAATGACAGTTAGAGGTACAAATGTCTTTTGTGCAGTATGACACTGTTATATTGCTATAAATCATAAGAAAGGAAAAAGAAAAAGTTGAATTTCTTTGAGTATGCAACATGGAATCAACATGTACATATTTCAAAGTGTCTCCAGATGTTACCAATACTAGAAAAAAACCATAGTGGCTCTACATACTATAGATATTTATTACTTATACACAAATTATTCTTATCATGCAACTGCTGAGTCACTATTAGCTTTTCAGTTGCACAAAGCAGTGCAGATTTTCTTTTTTGTTCTTGAAAGAGTCTGGTTACACCAAACTGTTCATGTTTGGGAAATTGTAAATTAGACATCATTTTAATAAAAAAACACATTCCAATTTTAAGCTTAGATCTGGTGAAGTTTCCCAAAGGAGCCACTCGTCACAGATGAGTAGTTCAAGGGCTGTTAGAAAATGGAAATTCCAATAAAATCTTTCAATTTTTACAGTTTCTCACTTGAATAAATAGTTCCATTTTAGTGTTTTTCTTCTTGTTCTTCTTTTATTTTCAAGATACCATACATTTCTTATCTGCCAGTGGGTTTTGCAGTTCAGATAATTAAATTAAGCTTTTTATTTACATATTTTTATATAGCTGGCCCTGATGATTGCAAGAATATTAGTCTCAATAGTCCACAGATCCACCAAAAAAAAGTAAAAAAAAAACAAAAACGTAGCACATCAAAGTACATGAAGGTTGTTCTCAGGGTATGAAAAGCCTTTTTGACATTACAAGAAGCAAACACACTGATGTAGCTAATAACAATGGCTCCGTTTAATTTACTAGAAGGAACAATGACAGAAGCTTTCATGGTATTTGCTCCATTTATCCTTTCTTCATCAAAATGCATACAATTGCATTGCTGTCACTTTCCATGTAGGCAATTCGAAATAAACGCAAACACGTAATTAACTGTGTAAGCAAACAGGTTTAAACCGATTATTCGGATGTTTAGTTACTTGTGCAGAAAGGCGGGTCGCATGTCAGATGTGTGTACACAGCTGCCCCCACTGTCGGGGCTGTACTGGGATGTTCACAGGACAGTTTAATAGGATCCACAATGATGTACTGGACCGCAGCCAAAGTTCCACACTTGTCACTTGACAGCACATGGCATTACTCCGCTGGCTGGGTAATGATGAATCACGCTATCGCTTTGGCAGGAATACAAAGACGTACACAACCTGCTTTCTTAGACTTAACGTCGACATGAGCCGAGCGTCTGGGTCCCAACCTGCTCGGTAATGAGTCTGGGTTCCCCAGAGCAGGCGATTACACACTCGGACTGGAAAAAGATTCTGAAAAAAACTCCTGATCCAAATGAAACACGGAGGTCAACAGCAGCATGGTCTTATTTCTCAAAGGCAGGTGAGCAGAATAGGTCGATTTTTTTTAAAATTTTCTTTTAGGTATTTTTCAGAAGATTTACCATTGTGCGAGCAGACGTGTGTGTCCTCGGGTGTCCTGGTTGCTCAGCGTATCTGCTACAGTCCCTAAACTCGGGCAGCAACTGAGCAGCATAGTCTGATGTTTCCCCTGATTCAGCTGTCACACTCCAATAGTCGAGGCAGAGGAGAATAAATGCGACGATATAAATATGAGAGATGCGAGACAACAGGTACAAATATAGAAACAGAGCGAGATGCACAGAGCGGCGAAGGAAATTTTAATAAAAGACAAGATAATGTTGTTGTTTCTGTTGGAGGATGAGTTGCGTATCAGTTTCCGTGTACTCCACTCCTAACCCGACTTGTCTTTGTGTAACTTGGTTTTTGATTTTCTGAAACATACCTTTTTCATCTCTCTTCACCGCTTTTTAATCTGATAGCATCTCGCATGTTTTTTTTTGTCTCAGAACACCTGCGTATAATTGTACTTTACCGTCACCAGTCGTCTGTGAAAGCGATACGAAGATGACAAGTAATCCGTTTTGTTCATCCATGTGTTTTTTTTTTTTGGCTCTCAGGTCTTTCCACCAGTCTCTCGGTGTTTGTTATTGACATCGTCTGCAGCTGCTTATTAGTCTCCCATCAAGCAGCTCGTTCATTTGCGAGCCGCTGGGTTCCAAACAGTGTGTTATTGAGAGGAAATTCTGTTCAATTAGCAGCCCGTGGATTTAGGTTCTGATAATGTGTAGCGGTCAACGCCATGAGGTACGTCAAGAATGTGAATCACCCAGTCAGCCACAAATCCAACATCCAGCCCGCTTTCTGTTTTGCAGCCACAGTCTCATTTGGTACCAAACTTCATTTTACAACTTCATTTTAATATTATCTTTCCGAGCGTCCCAGCCTGTTGCAGTAACCCTCAGGCCCGGTTGTACAACATGGATTTGGTTTTAGATTTTTTTTTGAGCTGCTCAAGATGTGCTTTAATTCATGCTTAATTTATCTTGTACAGACCCATCGTAATGTCACTTTAATAAAAAATTGATTGGCTGCTCGCCTCCTTTTTACTGCTACGGGACATTTAATCTCGCGAGTACACCATAATCCATACAGATACACACATAAAAATGTGATGAATAAATAAATAAACGGGAGGCATTATGCGACATCAAGAAGAGCTGTTGAGGTCTGGAGATGACTGAAAGTGGAGCTTTTTGTAAATAGAATTCGAACAAAGTTTGGTGCAACAGATGTGTTTTGTTCTTTTCTCTGAGCTGAACAAACAAAACAGACGACGACATCATAATAACTCGATCGTGCCTTTTTGCTCTTATGCAAAATCACCTCTGACCTACAATCACAAAGATGCTCCAAACGTCAGATATGTTTTGGTTTTCGCGTAGACAGCTATGGATCTTGGTGGATTCACTGTGTGTGTTTGTTGTTTATCTGTTTGTCTGTGTGAAAACCTATACTCTGTAAGCTGTTTTCCACTCTTTGTTTCCTGCTGTGTCACAGACGCAGCCAGAAGCTATGACCCCCATACTGCTTTTATTATCTGTCTTCTTGCTCTCTCTCTCCCCTCCTCCTGTCCCATCCTCTCCCTTTCCCTTCCCCTTTTCTTTTCTCTTCCTTTCTCTCCGCTCCATGCTGTTTTGTGCTCTACTCTAATTTCCACCGACTGAAATCGGAGAGAGCAGAGGCAGATAAAACCTGAGCTTGAGAAAGCAGGGGAGAGGAGTAGGGGGATGATGGAGGGATGCTGATGGAGGGTGCCTCTGAGAGGCCTAGAAAGGCCAACAGATATCAGGGAGTCACACAGAGGAGAAAGATGATATGAATCCTGCTGTGCTCTCTCTCCTTCTCTCTCTCTTCCTAGCTCGCTCTCTCCGTCTACTTGTGTTTCTCATATTTTCGCAGGAAGTCAACTTAAGTGCTGGATCTCAGGAATCAAGACGAAATGTGTACAAACAACAGTCGAAGCATGAATGAGGCGGCTGAGCGCTGTTTGCTTCAGACAGCTTTGTGTGTGTGATGTTGCGCGATGATGCATTTATGAGGTGAATGATGGAAACACAGATGTTCCTTGTTATAGGGTGGAAATGCAGGGAAGAAAAAAACAGACTGTAGCGATGAGTTACTAGAAAGCAGCGTTATTATAGATGGTGAAGTGAAAGACGCGTGTGGAACAAAGGCGAAGATTACGATGGTGATGACACAAGCACTTTCTCTAAAGGTTGGATAGTGCAGCACATAAGACTTCATAATGCGTCACATTATAAAGCACATACCATCAGCAAGGCACGGTTTTTCTTAAGGAATGAGGTCTTCTAAAGCATTTTTATTTTGACTTTACAAACAGATACAGTTGTTAACAATGGCTCCTTTGTGTTCTCTGTCTATTTAGATTGCTGTCTCACTACAAAGGATGACATCCAGACACAAGTGATGATTAATGTTATTTGTCCCGTTAATCATTTCTTCATCAAAGCCTAAAAAGATGAAGGGCTGGGATTTTTATTTTTTTTAGATAGGCAAAAATACCTAAATAATGGTTTAAATAAAATAGCCTGTGATGATGTTGAAACAGGATTTTGCTCCAAGATCATTTCTATAAAGCAGGGGTGTCCAATCCTGGTCCTCGAGGGCCACAGTCCTGCATGTTTCAGCTCATCATCAAGCTCTGCAGAAGCCTGATAACGATCCTGATCATTTGAATCAGGTGTTTTGGAAGAGGGGAACATCTAAAACATGCAGGATTGTGGCCCTCGAGGACCAGGTTTGGACACCCCTGCTATAAAGGATAACACACCTAGCCACTGCCTTGTTCCTCTTATGAAAAGCCAGATCAGACGTTTCTCTTTTGCAGAGAATAGCAACTGTTTGTGTCTTAGTTTATGCAGAACTAACGTAAGCAGCAGACATCACTTGTACACATAGAATGCAAGGACGTTAACTGA